AGCAGTCCTATGAGGACTCCTCTTGAGCTCCCTCATGTTGTTTCCACCTCCTAAGTGCTAGAGATTAGAACAAACATGTGGAACTTCAAGATGAGCAAAGAAGAGTTTTAGAATTTCTATATGTGAGGGTTGCATCACTAGTCCTTTAGGAATAGTCAGTAAGAAAGTTCTATTTCTAGATCCTAGGCTTCTAAAAAAGAAACTAGACCTCCACCAAAAGTGAGGTCAACACCTATACTATCCTAATGTTGAGATGATTGCATGTTATATGAATTACAACTTATTTAGGATTTATTGATCTCCATATAGATCTTTTGGCGATTTCCCCTGTTTGGAGCTTCCTTGCTGATGTTTTTTCATTAGATCCGCGTTATATGTATTTTGCTTTACTAAAATCAAAGAATATTATTAATTAGTGTTTATTGTATGAGATTTATGGAACCTGGATGCTGACAGTAGTCATATATCTAAGTGATCGATCCAATGCTGCCTTACATGTGTTGCTCGATTCAAACCCGACTAGACAGTCAGCATATGTTGCATCTCCTTGTATCCTTTGACAACCTATTTCATTGAAAAGATATTCAAAGAGCACCTCGATGGAGGTTGTGAACTTGCTTAGATGAAAGTAGGATAATATCTCTTGAGCTTTCAGTGAATATATTGGAAATGTACCAGGAGGCAAGTTTACCATGATTTTGTGAGTGTTTCACATGCTTGTCGATTTCATCTCTAATATGATGAGTTCATCTTGGGACTAACAACTTCATCTTTAACTTAGTGAGTTGAACTTGATTCTTGAATCAGATAATCATAGCTTGAACTAGGTTTTTGAAATATTGATATTCTTAAAAGCTAGGTTCAAGCAACATGCTTATTTTGTGAAGTATTCCCCATCAAGGACACCAATTGAGATATCATCCACAATAAGCCTCTTCTTCACCTCATGCATCGTTAATCCCATCATTGCCTTCCTCAATGAGCTCCGATTGGGAACTATTATTCTTAGACATTTTCGGTTCCATCGATGATCTTCCAATAAGCTAACGTCATAATAATTTCTTATTCTCACATATCACCGATCCATTTGGCGAGCCTACAATGAGCTTTTATCACCAAATTAACTTGTTCTTATACGCTTTTGGTCCCATTAGTGAGCCCCAAGTGAGCTCTTATTATGAAATTCGACATTATGGTCCTATAATGTCTATTTCGACTAATTCAAATCACAATAAAACTTTATTTAAACCAGTCCTAAATTAGATTTAATATTTGAATTGGAAGTCATTCAAACCAATTTTTTGTAAAAAGAGAATATATTAGTCCAAATAAACTTGTAGACATTTCTGCAACAAAATAAACATCAAAGGTAGTGATTTTTAGAACCGGTTGTAAAATTATTATTTAAGTAGAAAGAATATATATGGCCCTTTGG